CCTTGCGCCCCCTCCCACGCAGAGACCGTCTACGCCGCTCTGCCGGCCACCACTCGTGGCTTTGCCACCCACATGTTCTCCGGCACCACCCCCGGCCCCAAGGGCTTCGGCCCGAATGTCGTGTACACCAACGGCCGGTCGGTGTTCATCCGTAACATCCAGGACCCGACCATCGCCGACCAGTACAGCGGCCATGCCCACAACACCACCGTCGCCGCGTACTCGCCCTCCGGCTACTACATCGCCTCTGCCGGTGCGTATCCCCCTTCCCCCCTTCCCCCCTCTCCCTCTCCGCCAAGCCCCTCGCTCCTGCCACTCTTCCACTCACCCGGCTGCCCCCCCCCCCCCCCCGCGCCCCACCCCGACAGATGTCTCCGGTACCGTGCGCATTTGGGACACCACCCAGCGCGGGGAGAACCCCCTGAAGATCGAGCTCAAGGTCCTCGGTGGCGAGATCAAGGACCTGGCCTGGGATTCCGAGTCCAAGCGCATCATCGTCGTCGGCCAGGGGTCCGAGCGCTTCGGCCACGCCTTCCTCTTCGACTCCGGCTCCTCGTGCGGTGAGATCTCCGGCCACAGCAAGGTGATCAACAGCTGTGCCATCAAGCCCAGCCGCCCCTTCCGCGCGGTCACCGGGTCCGATGACTTCAATGTCAACTTCTTCGAGGGCCCCCCCTTCAAGTTCAAGCAGTCCAACCGCGACCACACCCGGTTCGTCAACTGCGTGCGCTTCGCCCCGGATGGCAGCCTCTTTGCCTCGGTCGGGGCCGATTCCCAGATCCTGGTGTTCGACGGCCGTGATGGCTCGCTCGTCGGCAAGATGGACGAGGCCTCCGCCCACAAGGGCACCATCTACTCGCTGGCCTGGTCCCCCTGCTCCAAGGAGATCCTCACCGCTTCCGGCGACCGGACTTGCAAGCTGTGGAATGTCGAGTCCCGCACCTGCATCGCCACCTTCACCATGGGCCCCAGCCCCAATGACCAGCAGGTTGGCTGCCTGATCGACCCCGCCGGCCAGCTGCTGTCCCTCTCCCTGTCCGGCGCCATCAACTACCTGAACCGCGACCAGCCCGAGGGGCCGCCCCTGCGCGTGGTCAATGGCCACTCGCGCCCGGTCATGTCGCTGGCCTACATGCCGGAGTCCAACACCCTGGTGTCCGGCGACAACTCCGGCCATGTCATGCACTGGGATGTGGCCACCGGTGCCAGCACCGTCGTCCTGCAGGCCGATGCCAAGCCCGGCCACAGCAACCAGGTGTCCTTCATCCTGGCCCAGGGGCCCACCCACGCGGTGTCCATCGGTCTCGATGACACCGTCCGCGCCGTGGAGGTCGAGAAGCCGGCCTTCGGGTATGTCCGCGGCGCATTCGGCGCCTCGCCCGCTTGTTTTCCCCCGGCTCCTGCTCCCTCGTGTCCCCCCCCCCTCCCCCGCCCACGCGCGATCCGCGCCTCTAACATTCTACTTCCCCCCTTGCCTGCCCCCGCCCCCCGCCCCCCTCAGCTCCGCGGTTCATGCTCTCCCCAGCCAGCCGACCGCCGCCGCCGCGCACCCCAACTTCTCGGTCATCGGCACCAACGACGGCATGCTGCACCTGCTGTCGGCTGCCGATGAGGGCCCCTTCCGCGTGCTGTCCTCCATCAATGCCAAGCTCCCCGGCACCGCGGTGGCCTCGCTGGCCATCTCCCCCTGCGGCACCGAGGTGGCCGCCGGCGCTTCCCAGAACGGCACCATCCACGTCTTCACCATCGAGGGCCAGTCGCTGCTCGTGGAGAAGCCGGCCTTCACCCTGGCCGACTCCAACCGCGCGACCGTCAGCTCGCTGGCCTACTCGCCGGACGGCCTGTGGCTCGCTGCCGGTGACAGTGTCAACCAGGTGGTCGTGTACAAGCGCGACTCCTCCGGCTACACTTCCCAGGGCGAGGACTGGGTGTACCATGTGAGCCGCATCACCAGCCTGGCCTGGTCCTCGGACTCCAAGCACCTGGCCTCCGGCTCGGTCGACACCCACGTCTACGTCTGGCGCATCGGTGCCGATGGCAAGCCGTCCTCCAACAAGACCGCCCTCCTGCACAGCCACGTCGGCCAGGTGAGCGCCCTCGCCTGGATCGAGCCCAAGGGCAAGCCCGAGGGTGACGAGCTGCTGCTCGCTTCGGCCGGCCAGGATGGCTGTGTCAAGTTCTGGCCCGTGCCCATCTAAGGGGTGACCCTTTCCGGGGGGGGGGGGG